ACTTGGTCCTTTGTTCACTTCATTTTACCACGGATTCGTTTATAAACAAGGCACAATTCGACGCATAATTATCAGAATAATTGAAACTAAAAGACGATGCTGTGCCAACTATATTGGATCCAACAGTAATGTCACAACACACAAGTGTGAGTAACTGTTTTTATTACTATTGCTTTGTCTGTTATTACAGATCGTTTGATATGTACTGAATATTTATGTGTTTACCAGTGGGCATTTACATCCGAGTATATACGACTATTCAAATGGAGGACAGAAAATAGCCTATTACTTCTAAATGATGGTGTTTTTGGTGTAAAAATCTTGATAACAGTATAAATGGACCTCAGAGAACTGAACAAAATTTTTAAAAAAGCAGTAAAATGCCTGTGGGATTTTTGAGTGGTATATAATGCACAAAAATCAAATGAGAGTTTTAAATTATTTCATTGCAATAGAGAATTTGAATTAATTCACAGACATTAATCATATGTAAGAACTCTTTTATGTCTAGTTAGCTATATAGCTAGCTGGATCCATCACTCTCATATTCAAGAGGGTCTGGCTGCAGCCTTGCACTTGCACTCTCAGACGTGCATTCTCAGGCTTGCACTCTCAGACATATGTGTATAGGTAGTATTTATAAAATTTTAGCTTTTCGTTTTGGATCTGTTTTTAGTTTTTTTAATACTACAATTGATTGCTTCTGCTGTCCTCGTTTGTAAGTCGCTTTGGATAAAAGATTCTAATAAATGACTAAATAAATAAATAAAATAAATAATCATTAAATCACCACCACAGCGTCTTGTCTCCATTGGCAACACGCACCATTTGTGTCGATTGCAAGTGACGTCGCAGGTATCGGAGAGTGCAAGTGGCGATTGCAAGTGACTTCGTAATTTAGTTTCTTTTTTCTTGTCTTCACCTGGCTACTGTTGTAAAATGTTGAGCGATTCAAACTAAAAGTAATTAATAAATGGAACAAAATAAAAAAGACTGCAAGTGACGTTGCTAGCGGAAGTGCAAGTGTCTGAGAGTGCACGCCTGAGAACGCAGGTGCAAGGCTGCAGCCAGACCCTTCTCCTCATATTTGTGGTTTTCAGGAAATTTGGTTCACCAGTGAGTCTTTGCTGAAAGCATAAAGGCTTACTGAAGCCTGAAAGTTAGAATCTGCAGCCCTTAATGAACACGACCTCTGTCTATGGTGATGCTTGGTGAAATATCTTGCCAGGGTGACTTGGCACATGGACAGAGGGTGGGATTGTGTTTCCTATCCCTTATCCTTTTGCCCAAAAGTCAGTGATGGTGAAAGTCCTTTTCTTGTTCACCCAGAGTTTGGCTATGTTTTTGGCATCTTGCTCTTACTCAAGTAATATCAAATGAACTGCTGATGGTGACGAGAAATCCTGGTGCTAAAAATCTATAAAGTAAACGATCTCTAAGGGTCAAAACATTCAACTGAATGTAATCCAGACAATGCACAATCAAACACCAATCCCCTACCTCTTGATGAAGAATGTCTGCAGTATCCATGGTTACCTCAACTACGCAAAAGCCAAAAATTGCAACGTAGATAGTGTTTTTTCCAAGGCTGAGAAATGGCATGCTGAGGGCAGCTCTCCATGGAGACCAAGTAAACCGACATTATGGACTTAAGATGAATGGTAGGTGGTGATAGCTTGACAGTACAGAGAGTTCTGTGTTCATTTAAATCCAGAAATGCTGTCAGACCCCTCTGCCTGTCAGAGAGAGAAGAATCTCCATTTATTTCCTCCACTCACACCCACACTTTACATCATGAAGGGCCAATGAGGCTGGCTGGCAGTAACTGGATTTATGAACTAAAGTAATGATGCTGCAAGTAATAGAGAGTTGCATAAATCGCTGTGAACCTCTGTACTGTAAACCCATCCACTGACCCAGACTGGGCAGTTTAGTTAAACAACATTATACTGCAGTATTTCTCAGTCTTCTGACAATATATTCGATACATGTTCAAAAAGTTTAATGCAAGTAAAATACCTAAAAATAAGCAATATTTTCAATGCATATATTATCATTTTCATATATGCAACATTACAACAATACATAATCCTGCTAACAAAAATATGTTCTAAGAATGTAAATGTTATTTCTGAATGTTTTCAGAACATTCCAAATGTTTTTTCTTGGTTATGTGAACATTAGAAAGAACATTAAGGTAGTTCTTAAGGTAGTTGTTAAGTTTAGGGTATTGGGTAGGATTAGGGATGTAGAATATGGAATGTTATATATGTTAATAAAATACATGCTAATAAGCAACTAGTTAATAGTAAGAATTGGTTAATAGTGAGAAGTGGTCCCTATACTAAAGTGTTACCTGTTACGGGGCTGACAAGACGTGAGACGTGCGGATCCATGTGCAAGCTTTATTAAAAGCAGAGGAGGTCAGAAACACAGGCAGGGTCAAACAGTGGCAAACAGGGATATGGCGGGCAAGACACAAGAATAATCCTAGGGCTAGCGTAGGTCAACGATCGGCGAACAGAATAACAAGGGCAAGACTAGAGGAATAAATCCAGGAAAACAGGCAAAGATCAGAAACCAAGAAAACAGACGAGGCAGACTAAGCTAAGGCAGGGTAAACAAAACAGGCTCCGTAGAGTAGCTATCAAAACGATAAGCACTAAACAATACTCGGCAGCTAGAAAGGAGTGAGATTGAGTGTTAAATAGTGAGTGAGTGATGTGAAACAGCTGTGTGCAATCAGTGCTGTGTGCAATCAGTGTAATGATTGCACACAGCACTGATTGCACACAGCACTGATTGCACACAGTGCTGTGTGCAATCAGTGCTGTGTGCAATCAGTGTAATGAATGATGGGAAATGTAGTCCGGGGTGATATGCAACAGTGTGTAGTGCGAGAGTCAATGAAAATGGAAAAGGTGACCTCTGATGGCTAGCAGAAGGAAGTTCATGGACCGGATACGTAACATTACCGAATGTTCTCTGAGCTATCTGAAACAAGAAGTAAATACATTTATAAAGCATTATGCTAAATGTTTCAGAATAAATTATATATATATATATATATAAACTTTTTTTTTTTTTGCTAATGTTTTGATAGTGTTATTAAAGACCAGCGCCCATTGCATAAAATGTTTTTTTTATTTTATTTTTTGTATTTTTAGGTCTTACTTTCTAAAAGTCGGTCACATCAAAACGTAAATTGGTCTAGATTGACTCTGAAAAATAAGACTCATTACCCCTTGACTGCTAGTTGGTCAGACTAGTTCTTAAAACACAGTCTTAAAATAGAGGCTAAGCTCATGTAACTTGCCCCAGATAACATTTGTTCATAACTTAAAGAGAACCTTGCATGAAGAATGTTCCTTGAAAGATGGGAATGAACAGAAATACATATATTGTAACTAAAACATATTAAAACATGAAAAATGCCATGCAGAGGCTTCTGTGAACATTGAATCTGAATTTTGAATCATTTAAATTTTGTACATGAATTTATTATGATAAACATGTTTTTTTTTTTTTTTTTTTTTCAACAATCATTAAGACAGAAATTAAAACAGTCAAGATATGAAACAAGTTTTTTAAAATTATTTATTTAATTTATTTATCTACAAATCAAAACTTTTTTGTTATTATCATGCACGTATTAATTGTATAAGACCAACAATGAGACCATTAATAAAATAGGTTCAATAACAGGTCATTAAAAACAGTTTCAAGTTTAATTTAGTGCTGTCCCTTGTTTAGTGTTCCCTTTTACAATCCTTGCTCAGTGAAACAAAAGTTGTTATCTTTGAGGTCAAAGTCTCTAAATGTGATGGTACCACCTATACACAGACAACCGCACAACTTGCTTAATACAAGAATTATTAATACATACACACTTATATCAAATAAAAAGAGCACGACATCTGATTTTGCATTGGAATCAGTCTCTAAAAATGACTCATTTGCACAATGCTCAGTATTACATAATGTTGTGTAAAATATTGTCCACATATAGCCTACAGTACGTGTGCTGAAAATCAAATGTAGTGGGCTGTTCCAAGGCAAAGACATTTATGACAGCTATCGTCACGTATAGCTGATATATGGAGTTCCTGTTATATTGTTACCACAGGTACTGCTTTCAGGTATCTGTTTCCTCCTTAGAATTATACCTGTTCTGTAAGGCAATTATGCTATATTGTGACAAAAGGTACTGTGTCTATTTTTCATCTTATTTTGCTATTTTCTATTTGGCGGGAATGGTCAAAGCAACTATGATTTTTTTTAGCTCTTTGTTGAATTTGCAGTTTTGTGACAAGTGCAGGATTTCTTTAACATTTGCTAAATCATCAGGAGCTTGGTATGCTGATTTCAGAAGTGTAATGTTTCTGTTGTGGTGGTGCTGGCTCTAACAGAGATCATGTTTAAATAATGATCATATGCCATATGTCACTATTGCTAAATACTTAAATCGCTAACAAATGCTTCATTAGAGCAGCACACCTAACTGTATTCTTGGGTGTAAATGTAATGTTTACATTTAAACGTATAAAATATATAAAGACCAAGATGATATCAGTGAGCGAGTTAAAGGAATATTGTCATTTCAATTCATCTTTTGCATAATCTGAACTGAGGGAGCAGAAAATATGCAGAATTTAAATTTAAATTTAAACATGATGTCTGATTACAATTAACTAAAATTCAAATGACTGTAATCTTTACTAGAAAAGGAAAACTATCAAGGCGACCTTACAATATTTAAAAGTTCTTACGGACAGAATTCATAGATGTAACAGTTTACACATTTCTGACATTCATCTTTGCTTTACTCTACAGGCAATAAAGGGCAGATGGATAACAGCACGTTTAAAATATTTCTTGCTCTAACATGTATCTCTATTACTTCAACACTGATTTTGGCATACAAGAGTAGTTATACTCTTTACCAATATATGACTGCTTCCTATAATACACAAAAAATCCCAGACGCTTCAAATTCGACAATGCCCATCAAAGACTCAGAGCATGCCTTCTGTAATACATGTAAAATCACTGACCCTTTAAATTCGATAACACCCATCAAAGACTCAGAGCATTTCATGGTGTCTGCGTTTATCGACCACAGACTGGATGGGGTCATTCGAGTCATCAGCATAATCAACAGAAACAGTCTTCAGCCACTTTACTGTATTCACTGCAGCGCTGAACAAGTCTGCAAAACAGTTCACACTGAGGTCCAGATACACGACGACCATTTTGCCTTCCCGTTTCACGTCTCAGATGTGATTTGTAAAGGCAGGCACATGCAAAATGCAACACACGTCCTTATATCAACTAAAGATTCAGATAACAGTGCTACAGAGTATCTGCCAATAAAAAATCGTGTCAGAATGAACACTTTTAAGTATAACTTTACCGTTTGCAGCTCCAATCTTTTTGGTGACTACAACAGTGTACTGCAGTTTGTTCAAACAATGGAAATGTACAAGCTTCTGGGTGTACAGCATGTGGTCATCTATAAAACTAGTTGTGGACCAGACTTGGAAAAGCTCTTAAAACATTATGAAACCGAGGGGATGCTGGAGATCGTTCCATGGCCTATCGACCAGTTTCTAAACCAATCATCAGGCTGGAACATCAAGCACCACAAGGGAGACATTCAGTATTATGGTCAGTTAGTAACACTCAACGAGTGCATTTACAGGCACATGTACCAGTCAAAGTATGTTCTCCTGAATGACATTGATGAAATCATCATGCCTTACAAACACACCAGTTTACCATCTGTAATGGAGGACCTCCAGTCTGCTCATCCCAATATAGGGGTGTTCCTCATAGAGAACCACATATTCCCTAAAACACAGTTTGAGGAGAGTGGGAAGTTCAAACGAGCAGAATGGAATAATATTCCTGGTGTTAATATCATGGAGCACATTTACAGAGAACCTGATCGAAAGAACATT